AACTTAAAGGGATGCTACGTATATTACTAACGATTTAAGGTTCAGATAATATGGTAACGAGCCGTTCCTCACACACTGTAAAGTGAATTGACTGTATATTTGTGGGCGAACGCGGCAGCCAATTGCGCACAGCAATGTCCCACAAACAGTCGTAGATTGAAAATGACCAATTTATTATTGTTTTTGGTTTTTTGGAGGGATTATTATTAGGCTCTGTGTGGAGTAAGGAAACTTGCCCAAGGTTTCGCCCTCTGCCTGGAATTGAACTCAGGTCTCTCGTTTGCAAAGCGAGTGCTCTAACCACTGAGCTACAGGACTCCAGGATGGCTAAACTGGTGAGAAAGTTGACCACACTTACCTCAGCCATCTCTTTACGGATTTCTTGCAGTTTCTTTTCCTTCAGTGTTTGCCTCTCGTTGTCCTGAGCCTCAAATGAGAATGGCTGTATTTCTACATTCTTCTCTTCCAGGGGTTTTGGCTTGAATGGGACGGCACAGTGTGGCATAGTGTTTATCTTAATCTGCTTTACTAGCTTTCTTCCTACAAGTTTAATAGAAAGAAGCACTTTGATGTTATGGTACATGAAGCAAATTAAATAAGTGAAAGCTGTTTGCTGCACCAGCATGGATTATAATCATAAAAATAGGCTCTTTCCCAGTCATCCTCTAGTCACAACCTCAGGATTATTTTTCCAGAAGCGTGTCACAGCACCCTACCTGCTCCTCTTTAAGTGGAATTCTTGTACGGCTTTTCACTGCAAAAACTGGAGAATGAGGCACTGTCAATGGTAGCTTACTCTTTTCTGGAACTCCCTGGAAGAAAATCTAGTCAATTTTTAGGATATTAAAAAAAATTACAACTAAATGCATGTCTCTTGAATAATAGAAACAATAGCTCCTATTCTGCAATGCATCTCAGCTCATAATATCCTCACCACAACATCTTCCAGCATCCGGATGGGGCACGGACAGGGATGGAAAAAGTACTGCTCCTGATCCTCGGGCTTGCGATTTTCTTCCCGCTTCCTGATACGATTGTCGGTCTCCAAGCGAAAGCCAATAAGCTCTGTGGGTTCGTTCACCGGTGGCTTCTCTGGGACCACCTTCCAGGATTCTGGGGTTTAGTTCTTGAGCTTTGAATCTGTAACTGAAGCAGCAGCAATGACCAAAATCAGTGCTTTAGAAAACTACAGAAGTTACTCAAGTGATTGAAACCTCAGGAAGCAAACCTGGAAACCAAACCATTCACTTCTAACCAAAGAATTGGTATATTAATAAGTAATTTTTAACCTTTCTTTAGCGCTTTTGTATTGGAAAGATAGACATGAGAGCATACAGAAAATTGTATATCTATAACTATGTTAAATTTCAATATTCCTAGAGTCCTGCGCACTTGCCTTGCAAAAAAGTCGCTCAATCCATGACTGTTTGTAGGACATTGCGCAATTGGCTGATGCATTTCATCCACAAAATATGCAGTCAATCCACTTTACAATTTATTCTGTGAAATGTTTCAAGACATCTCAACAACATGATGGAAGCTGTATATCAAATGCAAGGATTATTACTAGCACTTCCTGCCATGGCAAATCATACCCATCCTACAAGTTGTGAACCACATGTGAGAATCTCACTCTAGCTATCTAGTGTGTATGCGTATATATATTAATAATCGGTTAAGTTAGCTAAAACGTGTCAATTGAACAATACTGATGTTCAAAACTGAGACTGGGAGCCGCACAGAAAATCAATAACCGATTGAGAATTATGGGTACATTAGCAATTTCTGAAAGCCTTTACAAATCATCACCATCTGACAGTGGAGCTCATGGCACCACATCGCCAACAGTTGGCATTTAAAAGCAAGAAAATTGACAAACTAAACTTTATGCATGTTCTAGAATATAGCAATGAACATAAAAAAGGCTTCAATGGTGCACGTTGGAAAAAAAATAAAACTTTATAGTGAAATGTTGAAACCCACTCACAAATTTATGGTCTTGTCATGGCTATTTTTGTAAACAGACCCCTGCACCAGTAAGTTCCATAAATAGCCACAAGGTGGAGCTCAGTGGTTAGAGCACTCGCTTTGCAAGCGAGAGACCTGAGTTCAATTCCAGGCAGAGGGCGAAACCTTGGGCAAGTTTCCTTACTCCACACAGAGCCTAATAATAATCCCTCCAAAACCCCAAACAATAATAAATTGGTCATTTTCAATCTACGACTGTTTGTGGGACATTGCTGTGTGCAATTGGCTGCCACGTTCGCCCACAAATATACAGTCAATTCACTTTACAGTATATTCTGTGAAGCGCTTTGGGACGTCCTCCCGACGTGAAAAGCGCTATATCAAATGCAAGGATTATTATTATTATTATTATTGCTGTGCGCAATTGGCTGCCGCGTTCGCCCACAAATATACAGTCAATTCACTTTACAGTGTGTTCTGTGAAGCGCTTTGGGACGTCCTCCCGACGTGAAAAGCGCTATATCAAATGCAAGGATTATTATTATTATTAAGGTGGATGACAAATGGTTGAGAATTGTTGCCAGCATCCAGGGAAAAGCCCTCTGCTGTTTTCCAATAGTGTCATGGATTATAACTATGTTATGATACAGACTCCAGCATTGCATTGGAGTGACAGCACCAAGTAGAAGCTCAATTCCTGACATGGCTGAAGAGGAGAAATGAGACTATCCAAGTGACAGTACAAGAGTTTCCTGGATGCTAATAAGCTGTCTTTAGAAAGATATCTGAATTGTATAGAGTACATTATAGCCTAAAGGACTTCCACTCTAGATTAGAGGAAAGCAATTCCTTCATCATCAAGGAGCCAGTTAGTGTCACATTAGCAGTATGAATGGTTCTACTGACATGTCACTTTTGAACATTCAATAAGGTTGGGCCGAGCTAGTCAATGTCACTCGTGACTCTCCCGCGCCCACTCCCCTCCATTCAGCTGGTGGATCCTGCAATGACAGACTAGCATAGTTTTATAACCACAGAGCTGAAGATATGGTGGCAATCATACAAACAACACCGAGTTTGGTTGAAATCCCATTTACCTTCTTCCACAAGTTGCTTGCTTCTCAAATGATAATGTGATGGTGTGCGACGTTGAAATTCTTCCACCTGCTGTGCAACAGAGACATATGCTTTGCTCTCCATGTCTGTATGTTTTCTTTTACTCCCACAAGATAGGTGGAAAGGCTTCAGTACAGTACTTCCCTTCAGTGCACACATCTGGAATGGTAAGCTGTCAACATTACTACAGAAATTGTGCATATTTGGAAATTAAATGTTTTGGTATATTAGTATTTTTGGAGTCCTGTAGCTCAGTGGTCGGAGCACTCGCCTCACAAGCGAGAGACCTGGGTTCGATTCCCGGCAGGGCAAAATCTTGTGCAAGTCTCCTTATTCCACGTGCCTGATAAGAATCCCGCAAGAAAAAATTAAATAAAAAGTTTGTCACTCAATTCACGACTGTTTGTGGGACACTGCTATGCACAATTGGAAGATGTGAGCCCCTGGAGCTCTTGGAGATCCTGGAGCTCTTGGAGTCCCTGGAGCTCTTGGAGCCCCTGGAGTTCCTGGAGCACTTGGAGCCCCTGGAGCTCGAGCCAAGAGCCCAGAGTGAGCTACGTCCGGAGTGAGGCAAGGCCAGAATGTGAGGGAATTTGGTAAGAGTGGGAATTGCTGCTGTGGGTGTCTTGAGAACTGCTATCGTGAGTACATAACCCAATTTGTTGTTGTTATTATTCAAGTCTTGTAGTAGTTGTAGTTGTTTTAAGTCTTGTGTTAGTTAAAATTGCTGATACCATTGGTACATTGGTCTTGTGTGGTAACTTTACAGGGAGCAGCAGTAGCCAATTAGGCCTAGCCAATAACAAGTAACTTATTGATTAACTTAATTTATTGATTAATCACTTGATTAGGTGTTAATTCCAAATTACTGCTGAGCAAATCAGAAACGGGTTGAACCCAGAAAGTATAAGTAGGAGATAGCTCCGAGAGCCTCACTCGACCTGAGGCCAGAGTGTGAGGGAATTTGGTGAGAGTGGGAATTAGGTGCAGAGGGGAAAGTGGGGCAGGCTATATATCTTTGTATCTATATAAAGATAGTGAAGATGGTGTGGCAGGTAAACTGCGAGGTCTGTCACATGTGGGAGTCGATGGAGGGCGCCTTAAGCCGGGGCGACTTCATCTGCCGCAAGTGTCTGGAAGTTAGGGAGCTTCAGCTGAGAGTAGCTGAGCTGGAAGCCCAGGTGCAAACACTGCGCTCATTAGGGACAGTGAGAGGTTCCTGGATGGTACGGTGGAGGAGACCCTCATTCCCCTAGGACTCACTGATAGCAGACCATCACTGTATAGGAACCATGAGAGAGGGGTACTGGAACCATTGGGAGGTCAGAGTTCAGGAACAGGACCACTCCCAAAGGAGCCCAACACACAGCCACATGCTAAAAGTGATTGGGTGACATTGCGATGGGGAAAGAAGAGGGCTTGTGCAAGGCAGAGCACCCCCAACAGAGTCCCGGTCTCAAATCAGTACTCAGCCTTAGCAATTAGGAGCGTGGAAACCTCCCGTGAGGACAGCAGTGAACATTCTCTCCAACAGGACAGGGGCATGGATCACACGGGCAACACTGTTCTGATAGGGGATTCAACAGTGCGAGGCACTGACAGGATCTTCTGTCATAAGAATCGTGAGGCTAGGATGGTTTGCTGCCTTCCTGGTGTGAGGGTAGTGGACTGTACCCAGCGTGTGGACAAGATTCTTCAGGGGGAAGGAGAATGTCCAGAAGTCGTGGTCCATGTGGGGACCCAAGAAGAGGGCTGAGATACTCTAGGGCGAGTATCAAAAGTTGGGGAACAAACTCAAGGCCAGAACATCCAAGGTGGTGATCTCTGGGTTACTCCCGGTGCCTCAGGCAACGGGGCACCATAATGGAAGGATCAGGCGTATGAACGACTAGCTGGAAAAATGGTCCAGAAAAGAAGGTTTCCGTTTTGTGGACAATTGGGACCACTACTGGGGGAGGTGGGATCATTACCTTGCGGATGGGCGGCACTTAAGCAAGGCAGGGGTTAGCTTCCTGGCCAAGAGATTATCGAATGCTGGGGGGCTAATTTAAATTGGTGGCGAAGGGGGTGAGTATCCCAGGATACACAATAGATTAGGGAATAGAGGAAAAAGACAAGTGGGAAATATAGAGCAGGTACATGTGGACAATTTCCTCAAATGCATGTACCTAAATGCACGGAGCTTAGGGAATAAGGTTGATGAGCTGCAGGTTCAACTGGCCGTAAGGGGTTACGATGTGGTAGCAGTAACTCAAGCCAGGACAGGAATGGGAGATAAATATTCCAGGATATAATGTGTTCAGGAAGGATAGAGAAGGTTGGAGGTGTGGCAATATTAGTTAAGGATACAATTGTAGCTGTAGAAAGGGACGAGACCAGAATCAATCTGGTTAGAGGTCAGAAATAGGAAAGGAGTGGTTA